TATACATAAAAACCAGATGTAAACAATCTCTCTTCATACACTCTCGTTAGGACGACGGTGTGGAAGGTCCATGCGACAAAGACACTCACTAGCCATGTAATTAAAACGACATGTGTATCCCCTGATGTTAAGAGAAATGGCTAGGTATCCCCCCCATTTTAGGTATTATATGACATGACGACACACGACAAAAGAACTGAATATGTAAAGATAGTCTACTTGGTACATAGTTCGCTCACTAATCTATAAGCGCATGTTAACGAACCCTGCGCTTTATTATTTAGGCTGCGCAGAGCCTCGCACGCAGCCGACAAGTCCATATTTCTGGGCAATGCAATGCCCCGTACACTATTGACTCTAAACGAGCCAGCGAAGGAAATTTCTAAGGCCCAAAGCAGTGATGCCAGAATGGTCGCGCTTTTTAGCGCATGCGCGTCGATTTGAGGCTCACTGAAGTACCTACTACGGACAAATAGGTGTATCGCTAGTCGCCCGTAAGAAATTTTCTTAAAGAAAATTCTAAATGATAATTTTTTACCGGCGGTAGACCGTTTTAACAACGACACATCTTTCTGTCTGCATATAACTATACTACATTATACATATTAATATATAAAAAAACATCTATCCTCCTGCACGACGACGGCCGACGAGTTCAGACAGGTCTTGCGCCCATTATACCAATACTGACACGCCACTGGATATCTGCCATTTCTACTGCTCATGCGCTAAAAAGCGCGACCATTCTGGCATCACTGGCCCAAAGTGCCAACACTTGAAGCACTGAGGTGGCCTATTTCGCAAAGGAGAAAACTTCACACGTGACCACCCCAGTCTAACACTACCTAAGTCGGTGAGTTTTTGACACACCGATGCCGGACAACGGATCCAGACACTTCTGCCGCCATACCGAAGCCTGGTCGGGAAGCCCACACGTACCACAGAAGCGGGACATTCACCGGATCGGCAGATTAGAGACTGAATCTCTTCGCGCATCACTAAATCGTCAAAACCAGAGACACGCATTTCTCCCATACGCACCGGGATTGAAACACGTGCCACATCTCCAAACAAGGAACGAAGTCTTGCAGCAAGTTAATCCACTTTGGTAACACAATCCGGACCAAAAACTGCAACCGAAACTCTACCATTTTCACAGCGGGTATTAATTTTGGTAATACCAAAGTCACTAAGAGCGACGTCTTTCTTGGCCTTTTCCAGCAAAGTAATGCTAGAGGGCCCATTCTCCACTTCGTTAATATAGAGCATAGCCATACGACGCCGATCAGAAACACCAGGTCCTGGAGAAACATCCATTTCCTTAGTTATCCGGTCAGCGTTTTTAGAAAGTCTTTCATTGAGGACGGAAGGTAAGTCAGTCGCTTTCTTCTTACTTCTCTGTTGTCTCTTTCTGTACTTCCTCTTGTGGACTACCTCCTCAAAAGAAGCGGAATCGCCCGTATCAGTAACCGTATCGGGCTGATCCGAAGTCACAATTTCCTTCTTCTCCACTTCGTCCGCAGGATGTCCTCCCCGAACGACATCAGCAAAAGAAATTCTCATCCGGTTAGGAGTTTCCACAGGGTGTAAGCAGGCGCTTGACCCAGAAGGAATAGATGTCACCGACGAAGAGGGACCACACGTTTGTCAAGTAATCCTGAACAGGCAAAGCCTCAACCGGGTGTCTTCTCATCACAATGTCCAAGTCTGAGCGCAGCCTGATAGTTTCACCACCTAAAATAGATTTTAATGTAAAGTAATAAGTGTTAAAAAGAGAAAAAAGGACATTACTATGTGCATATTATATATACTTAAAAATAAACCCACAAAGATCTTAAGTCAATAAAAGCATGCATGAATCTATAAAATTATATAGAACTGTATAGAATTATATAGAAATATACAATGTAAAAATGTGTGGACAGATTTGATGTATAATTTTATGCACATGCTCATGCATGAAAAGTTTTGTAATAACCGTCCAATTAAATAATTAGGTCTTAAATTAAAAAAATTTTATATTAAAAACTAATTGCACATAACTATAAAATGTTTTATTTTTAATAATTTCGCTGAAAGGAGAAAAATTACTCACAGTTGGTGAAGCAGGTGTACGAAGAGAACAAGGACTCTTGGAAGGATCATCGTGCTCGGTGCAATTCTCTCAATGATGGAATACTTGTGCTTTATTAATCTACAACAATTATTGTTTCAATTGCCAATCTTCAATGGACAATGAATTTAGAAACAACAATTGTTGTAGATGATTCGGCGAAAGTCGGTTTCTGGAGTCTGTCAGAATATTGCCAGCCCTTGAGAATAATGTCTCTGAAGGCACTGATGTTGCAACAACTGTCAAGTGCTTTTTGGCAATAATATTGAGAATCGGATATACTGATACAAGGTTTACCCAATAACATAACGGATTTTCCTCGAGATCTATCAATGGTTGATCCAAGTAATGCTTCAACTCAGTTGGCATCTCATCTTCGTACCGTTGCGCAGCATTTACAGTCTTTATTTTAAGATTATTGTGATAGGACCATAAATTAGTTTTGTTATCCGAAATTTTCACATTTGTTTCAGCAACTGCATCATTAGACACATTCATTTTGTCCAATTCCCTCATCCAGTTAGCAATCCGACAAATTGCATGCGAATATGCCACAGGCTGATTGAAGTGTAATTTCTTGAATCTGGGATCCA